TTTATACCAGAATCGGCCCGTTCTCTTTCTCTGTTTATAAATCGCGCTCTGCTGCTCCGGCCACGACGACGCTGGAATTTGTCAAGTAGATTTTTGACAGTGGTTTACTTAGAACGTTCTCATAGGTTCGATCAAAGGATAAAATTAGCCTGTTAATCGGCGAACTCGTGATCCAACAATCTCTTTCTCTCTTTCTCTCTCTCTCTCTCTCTCAGACACAGCTCTCTTTATTTACTTGGTGATTCTTTCACTTTCCTACGCGGCGTAAGTTTCAGAAATTCTTGGCCGACCAAAATAATGATAACTTATCTCTTCGAAGAACTTCGTTGAATCGAAGAACATAAACGATTTTAAATCCAAAAGTTCACGCTTCAGAGTTTCTCAGTTTGTAATGACGAAAAAATTTATGGGATAAACTATAAATTTATTTATGTAATGTTATAATTTTATTTTTAAATTGCGACTTTAGTATTAATTAATGACAGAAAAATTTTATAATTTATTATTTCATTTTAAAGATTATTATAAACTTATAAAGTTTATTATATATATAATTATTAAAAAAGGATTTTTAATTTTCAAAAATAAGATATAATGATTAAATTTGTAATGAATATATGTATAATATATTAATAATTAAACATATATATATATTTATTTTGCCTAGTTCCTTATATATATATATATATATATATATATATATATATATATATATAACTAGGCAAATTAAATATATTTACCTGTTTATCAAAAACATGTCCAAAAACCAGAATGCTTTTCGTGTCGATAACTCACGCAACGATACGTGCAATATATCGACGTCGACGAAACAGTTAGGTACCCCTTGAGTTGATTTACAGTTCCGCGTCATTTGGACAATTCGCTAAAAACGTCCACGCGACGCGAAATCGTAATTGCGACCGTTTAAAAGCCCCTGCGCTATAACCAAGCCAACCATCAGGCACAACTAGTTCGCAGTTAATACATCATCGTATTTAGGGGCACGTCGTCCTATTCTTTCCTATTCCAACTACATGCCTGACCCACGGTAACTCTAACGAGCCGGGGAGAACATCGATTAACGCTCGTTTCGGTGGTCATAAATTTTTGCGCGAAAATGCTCCGAGAATAAACTGCACGCGACCAAGTTGGAAACGTGTGCAACAAGACGACGTGACGCAAACAGAGCCTTTCAGGGCCTTTAAAGGTGCGTGCTCACTGTTGTTTGGGAATAATTCGCGAACAGTTTATCATCTGCTTGTATACTGTCCAAGAATCTTGTTCGTGGAACATGGTTCTCTGAAGCGTCTACTTTGATGTCTGATATATTAGCTTTTTGATAAACCTGCAGGCACTGAATCTCTCTCGTGCAACTTCCGCCAGAGATTATTTCGACGGTGCTGTGAATTTTGTAATTACGAATAAACAACGAAAAAAAAAAATTGACAATATCGATCATCGGTGATGATACAAAGCTATGAAAATTATTATTGAAATTGTTATTATCTATTGGGGGTTGCCATTAGGCTTGTTATTATTAATACTATCATCAATGTAATTTAAATTTACGGAAATTACCGAACAGACTAAATATCGTCAATATCAAGTTGTCGTCTCTGAAGGATTAAATAATACAATTTTAATACAATTTTAAGATAGTTACGACTGAAGTGTGGATTTTTATGGGAAATTTGATTAATCAAAAATGCACAATATATATACAAATAATGTATCTAAAGAACGACATTTATTATAACAAATTTTTATTTAAATTCTATTTTCAAAAATACACGAAAATCTATCGTCTAATTGCAGTACTCCCAACCCAAAAAAAAAAAAAAAAAAAAAAATAAAAAGAAAAGGATAAAAGGAACAACGATCGAGCTACATCTAACACCTAACATCTTAAAATAATTGGCTCTGCGCACTCGTCATGCTGGAACTTTTCTCCCGAACTGTCTGATCTGAGACATCCTCTCATATTCTCGCCGGTTCGTAAAAGTCGCGCGGCGTTGGCGAAACAACGCCGACTCCAGGAAGCCGGCCGGCGCGATATCCTTGAGCAGTTTCAGATTTCATTTTCGAAATACGTTTCGGTCGCCGCGGCATAAATACGCGAACGCACGGAATGGCTAATAATAGGAGGATTTGGCTTGGCAGCCAACAACGCGGCAGCGCTGCAACCGCTTCCTGAGTTCCATACGGCCGTATCTTCCGTTAACTTCGATGCACGCGCGCCAACAGGACACACACACAGTCGAGAGAGAGAGAGAGAAAGAGAGAGAGGGAGAGAATTAAAGAGATCCATCTCGCTGGCGCATTCTCTGCGCTAGTACCGCGGAGTATGCCGCGGAATTACGCGACGTGTTCATCTCGTTGTTCACCGAATCCGGAGCAATCTAAGAATAGAGCCTGCCTCCTCGTCTCCGTTGCCTCGACCTACCGTCTCTCCTCCGATATTCCTCCCCGCATATTTTCGTAATCGTCGGATCGCGGATGTTTATGCCGAGGGTGGAACATCGTCCAAATCCACGGCTGTATTAATAATCTTCGGCTGACTTTTAAAGGTTGAGCATCAACGAAAGTCGTGCACGATGCGAGAGGAGAGCAACGAGGGGTCCGAAGCACTTCGAACTGCTCAAATCCTTTCCCTCAACCCTTTTCTTTTTTTTTTTTTTATTAAAAATTCACGATACACTTTAGCCGTCAAGACGAGCTAGTTTTTCTACTCGATGGAATTATGGATATTTGTATATTGTATATGGAATTATGGATATTATTGTTGTTATTAAATAATTTATATACATATATATATATATATTATTAAATAATTTACATATATATTAAATAATTTATATATTACAATAATTAATATATTAAATGTATATATTACAATATATTAAATTTATATTAAATATTATAATATATTGTAATATATATAAATTTATATTAAATTATTTATATATATTACAATTTATATATATTATTAAATAATTTATATATATATATTACAAAATAATTTATATAAATAAGAAATTATCGTAGTAAAAGATCTTCCTCAATCTCTTGTAATTTGGAAAAGACAGACTGTAGACATAACTGGTCCCTAAAAATTTAAGGTTAGACCTTTGTTTGAAAAATTAAAGTTTATTTAAGAAAGATTCTACTTGAAAACAGATCAACGGACTCGAGGAAATGATCCAATCAATACGCATAATAATACACTTTGTGGGGTCCCGTTCAGTGGCACAAAGGATTAAACTCGATATCCCTGAAAATTTTGATAAAGACACGAGGAGTCCAACTAACATAATTCATTGATATCAAAGAAACTGTGGAACGTTCAAGTTGTCGTAAAACGAGTCAAAATTCTCAAGAGTTATCAAGTGCTTTCGAGCTTCGGATCGTAATGAAAGTGATCCAAAGTCTTCACACGTACAAAGTGGAACACGAACGAAAAGTTAAAAGTGTCTTGTACAAACTCCAAAACTAAATTCAGAGTCTCTCTTTCTCTCTCTCTCTCTCTCTTTCTGTCAGCGAATCTTAATCTCAACTTTTCGAAATACTCTGCGTATTTTTGCATCTTCAAGCCTCTTGTAAACACGTGCATAAAATCTACTAATAACTCATCCCTTGGTGCACCGTGTACGACGCAATTTCACAGCAATATGCACCGTGTCCAGAATGGAAACGATCGTCGTGGAATCTAATTCTGTCGTCAAATTAAACCGATCTCCCTTGCCCGAGCAACACCAGGAAAATTGTCCGTCCAGAAATACCCAGTGACCTTCTTCCGAATGGCTTGAAAAGGAGGCACGAAGCTGCGCAACCGGTCGTCGATCGGTTATCCAATCGTAACAGAGTCGGCAGAGAATTCCGCGTGGAATTACCAAACAAAACGTTGATCCATTACTTACGTCTCGTAAATCAATAGGGAGTAACGACAGGGAGGGCGCAGAGTTTCTCCCTCGAATTCTCGCTGTTAATTTTTTGATCGAGGTCGAACTCGTTGAGAGAAGTCAACGAACGCATTTCTACGACCGCGGCTTTTATGAACTCGCTATTAAGGCGAGTTTCGCATAACCATAAAACCATCGCTGCCGATGGTGATCTGCGACTCGACGTATTCAACCGTTTGCGGGTCACTCTCGACTTTTGTCGTTTTGTTTTTCTATTTTTCGGATTCCTCCGTAGATGAAAAATTTGCTAAAGCAAAATGACAAGACCAAATATGACGTGTGATATATACATGTATATATTCTAGAGGCAGTATTTAAATTTCACCAGAATATAGAAATTAATCCAAACCTTTTCAGATAATTAGATGTTAATTTTCAAAATATTTAGCACGACATATATATACAGGGTAGTACAAAAGGTAGTACAAAAAGTTTCTTTCCACCTCTTTCTTTTTAATAAAACGTCAAAATATAAGAAAACACTAATTTTATTAATTTCAAATTAAATGTAAGAAATATAAAAAAATATAAGAAAACACTAATTTTATTAATTTCAAATTAAATATAAGAAATATAAAAAAACTCTAATTTTATTAATTTTAAATTAAATATATGAAATATAAAAAATATAAGAAAATACTAATTTTATTAATTTCAAATTAAATATAAGAAATATAAGGAAACACTAATTTTATTAATTCCAAGTTAAATAAATGAAATATAAAAAAATATAAGAAAATACTAATTTTATTAATTTCAAATTAAATATAAGAAATATAAGAAAATATAAGGAAACACTAATTTTATTAATTTCAAATTAAATTTAAAATTACTTTAGATTTATTTTAGTAGAAAGTGATTTTGGCCCAGCCTATATTTCTAAATACTTTCACGTATATTTACCACCTTGTTAGATCAATGAGATCGCAAATATATCCCTTGCAACACGTGCAATATTTAAGACCTGTCTCTACTAATTGTGAGTCACTTCCAATTGAAAAACCGCGCAAACATCTGACCCAACGTTTTACCATTTTTCAGGTGTCCGACGGTGCGACTGTCCGACGACCCAGGCGCGCCAGAATGGCGGAGGTGGCGACGAAAAAGTCGATCAATGTCGTAAGTAGCAAAAAGAGCGAGGTGTGTAGTGTTCAGTCTAACAACGGTTTGATCCAGTTGGATAACATAACCGCGAGTAACAAGCAACTAATCTCGTTGTGTGACAACAACGACGACGAGGACGACCTAATCCTCACTAACAACACGCGTAACGAGTTGGACACCGACGACAAGAGCCTCCAGGAGCTGATCGAGAGCGAGCTGGCGCTGAGAATTTGCTCCAGCACCGAAGAGGAGACCGGCATCGAGACTGACAACGAGCAACAAGACGAGGTAACGCCGAACGAGCCAGAAACAGTGAAGAGGATCGTCTTGGACAGGCAGCAGGACGCCCTCGACGTTAACGCGGAGTTCATCGCGGCGGAAACGGAACACTCGGTGCTGGTGGAGAAACCGTACAGCTATCAGAATGGTCACATGTCGCCCGAGACGAAAATCTCCGACGATTCGTACGTTCGCGAGGAGACCGTGAAACCGGAACCGATCGCTGTGAGCAACCTCCCGGACGAGGAGGAGGAGGAGGAGGAGGAGGAGGAGGAGGAACAGGTGTTCGTCGAGCAGCCGGAAGTTGGCAGCGCAATACTAATCGAAGAAACAACGACAGACGACGTCGATCAATTGGCACGCGACAGCACGTCGGACGATGGCAAATTCCCGCAGATGGTGGAGAACGAGGATCCGTGTCCGAGTTGTCTCGTCCTTGGGTCCGCCGAGGCCACAGACAGGCTGCCGGAAGTGTCGAGCATGACCTACGAGCTGCTCGATTCTTCCTACGATCCCGTGATCGAAGAGGATCAGCTAGCCGCGACTTCGTCGCCTGTGGCCACTTACGTTGACAAGTATCAGCAGGAGAACGAGGCGATTCAGGCTATGATCGAATTCGAATCCGTGGAAACGAACATCGAGAAGGACGTAGGACAGAACCGTGAAACAGCGGAGGACGATAGTTTACGTAAGAAAGAGATCATCGCGGACACGTGGTCGGAACAGTCAGTTGAAACGGATGATCAACAATCCGGTCAGTTTTCGGACAATTTCGATCAATCGTTGTGCCAGGAAGACGTCGTCGCGCCTGAGACGCTGCCTGATCACAACAAACAGGCTGATCTCTTCGAACTCGCAGACACCGATTGCGACTGCAAGCAACTGGACGAGGTTAAAGAGCCATCGTTGGCGAACGATAAATCTTGTAGTTCGATGGAGGAGAAAATTCTCGAGGATCAGGAGGAGCCGTCCATTCCAGGGAAACTGGCCGAGGAGCCGGAGAAAGGAGAGGAAGAAGAGGAAGAAGAGGAGGAGGAGGAGGAGGAGGCGGCTCGAGGAACGCCGACTATGCAGTCAAGAAGCTTCGACGAGGGAACTTTGAGCCACTCGGAAAGCTGCTCGACAGACGCGGCCAGTACCCAGGAGTTCTTAGACACGGAACGCCGAGTGCTGAACGAGGAGAATTGCGATCAGTATCCTCACGAGGACGTGCAGGGCGTCCGCGAGAGCTCGACGACAGAAAGGGCCGATGGACGAACGAGGAATCTGCTGGATGAGGACGAGGAAGCGCGGATGAAGGAGGATGAGGCGAAGGAGGAGGGAAACGACAACACGGACGAGCAGAACGCGATCACGGAATCGTCCAGCGAGCTGTCCGTCTCGGAGCCGACTTTCATCGAGAAGACCGAGGTGGTGATATCCGAGAGCAGCGTGAAAATAGTCTCCGAGACGACGCAGTGCCTCGAGATCGAGAACGAAGCGGAACCGGTGGACGAGGAACAGCTTCAAAGCCACGAGCTCGTGTCGCCGGCTCGCGCACCGCTCGCTACCCCGGACGACGAGACCAGCGACGTTTCTAACGCCGGTGACGTAAGTGTTGCTCCTTTTGCCTACGCTAATCACCGACGACGATTAGGATCGAGATACAGTAAGTCGTACGTTGTGCTTTGTGAGTTCTTTTCAGCCCCTCTAACTTCTCTGACCAAACGCTTGACACTCGTTCTTACGAGAGAGAGATGTGCTGCTCGATTGACGATTCATTGATAAAGGATCTTTGGACGTCGCTCGCAGAAATTTTGAAAAATATATGTCGAGTAATTAGTTCGGGAAATCATAAAATGTGTACAAATTTCTGTAGACGCATATTTTTTTATGAATTTCGTAGTGATACGCTCTTTCGATTCGTCATCGATCAAAATATGTACGTTCTATCGTCAATTGAGTAGTATCTCTTAGTTAACAGGAATGATTTCGTTGTCGTTACGTGGCGTTGAGTGTGTGTCGTTTTTCACTGACTAAATAACGTAAGATACCGAAGAAGAAAATTTCATTAGATTGATATATGCATATTTATACATAGATTCAGAATAGATTTATATATATATATGTATATATATATATATATACTGTACTATACAGATTTATGTAATATATAAAATATATATTTAAATATTATAATTTATAATTTACAATTTATATTAATATATATATTATATTTAATATATTAAAACAGATTTATATATATATATATATATATATATATATACACACACTGTACTATACAGATTTATATATCTGTAATATATATAAATCTATATAGTATATATATATATATATTATATATTATACATATTGTTCGGCCTTACCGAACACAATGGGGATGAAATTCGTACCGCGAACTACAAACTCATCGAGCCAGGGGAAGCAATTTTCTAATTTTTAATTTCTCGACGGCAGGGATCTCCCGTGACCATATTTCATATTCTTCGTTATTTCGTTTCTTCTATTGTAGTCATACCAGACTATTAATTCCAAGGCTCGATAAGTTTCTTCACTGCAATGGTCCCTATCACAAACGAACTCGAAAAAGAGATGCAAAAAATAAATTCATCGAGCCAAGAATAAAACTTTCAGATTCACTAGTTTCTCCACAGCAGGGATTTCCCTTACTTCATGTTTTTTCCCTTACTTTTATCTCGTTGCTGCATATCATGCCCGACTCTCAATTCTAAGGCTCGGTAAGTGTCTTTATCGCAACTTTTCTACGACATCCATAAATCCAAGACATATTGCGAGAGACACATCCTCGGAAAGTGCAAATACTACTTTCTGGGACCGATCTTGCTCACATCTGGAAGCAACTAGCATACCTCCCTAATCCTGTAATCCATAATATTGTAAGGCCAACGTACAAGGAAAATAGACAGTTAATATTTTTGGCAATCGCGCAGTGCGCACAGAAGTAACCTATCGACGTACGACAGTTCACGATTCGTCTATCAAACTCACTCAAATCTTATCATTTTACGAATTCAAGCTCTCTCTTACGACAATCTACATTCCTCAATCATGCCGATCCAACCGCAACACAACTCTCCCTTGAACCAGGGGAACCTGACTTTCATTAACGTTGAAAGAGCAGCAAGCCACCGATCTGTTCAACGCGACTTATACATCGAAGTCAGATCGACACGCAACATATATAACATATAGATTTGTATATATATATATATAGATTTTCATATATATAGTACAAGAGAAAATACAGCAAACAGCTTGAAAGCTAATTAATCGACAATCGGCATTTACCGTCTTCGATTGACCAAATAACGCGGACAGATTAGGTTCAAATCGGAAGGTCGAAGATCAACGCGTACAGCTTTGAAGGTAATTCGGCCGGCTATACGTTGTTTCCGGGCAAAGTTGTTTCGTAGCGAATCGATGGCACCAACGTGTCGCGTCACGAAGTGACAGTGTTATTCGCGTTCCTGCCGAGTGTTGTTGAGTAATGCTTGCAAACGCGAGCCATTCCGCTTTTCCTGCCGGCACTCTGCAACACTAATTACACCCGTTGCTCGTGCTCCCACGCATATTTCGTGGCGGCAATAATTAATCTCGTTAACCAGGTAGCCGCGCGTCGTCCTTTCGATTCGCGACAATGCTCTTTATTCCCCCCTTTTTTTTTTTTTTTTTTTTAAATAAAAATATATATCTAGAGTTAAACTACAAAGGCTTAACTAACTGGCTCGCAACCACTTTCATTCTCCGTTATTTCTCTTCATTGACACCGAGGCGAAGAATACGACAACGCGAGTCGGAGCCCGGTCGTTCATTCCGCACGACCCACGGGCCCGAGTGAGAGTACGGACGAATGTAGTTCACGGCTACGGAACGGAATTACGGCTAGCCGAAACTCGACAAGCCGGCAATTAAACGTCGGTACACGCGTGGCAAATCAGGTTCTGGATAAGTATCGAGACTCGCGGCCGATCTGGTCGTTGCGCGTAATCGCGAACAGTTTTCTAGTAGCGTAAAATGTTGAAACAACGCGTTTTCGCGCGTCGATACTATATAGGCTTAAATAGAAGCTTACTTGGACGAGACAAAAAAATGTTCTTACAGAACAGATGTTCTTACAGAATAATTGGCAAGTTGTAAATTGTTATATGAACGTTTTTGTTTAAACTTAGTTTACTATAATATAATAAGAATATATATAATACTATATATATAATTACTATAATATAACAATTAATAATATATATTGTATTATATAATATATATATAATACAAACTATGAATAATATAATTGATATAGAAATTAATTTTTAAATTTCACAACTCATAAATTTACTAGTTTTAGTGTAATTTGCCAAATTTCACTGGCAATATTAATCATCTATACACAGCTATTTACTTCGGTTGAAAATTTGAGAACTAATAAATAATTAACAATATCAAATTTTTATAATTTTTATAATTATTGTATTGATGAAATACAGTAATGGATATATGAATATTTATATAACTCTCAAGTTATAAATAATAATATATAATACACTTAAGTTGTACTTAATATATAATATACCTAAGTTATAAATAATAATATATAATACACAAAAATTTTTAAATTTCACAACTCATAAATTTACTAGTATTAGTGTAATTTGCCAAATTTCACTGGGAATATTAATCATCTATAAACAGCTATTTACCTCAGTTGAAAATTTGAGAACTAATGATTGTTAATAAATAATTAACAATATCAAATTTCTATAATTTTTATAATTATTGTATTGATGAAATACAGTAATGAATATTTATATAACTCTCAAGTTATAAATAATAATATATAATACACTTAAGTTGTACTTATTATTTAAGTATATTATATAATACTTAATATATAATATACCTAAGTTATAAATAATAATATACAAAAATTTTTAAATTTTACAACTGACTTGCAGTTCGCAAACTTGCCAAATTTCACCAATGACATTAACTGCTCTACAAACTGTTTCAGTTAAAAATCTAAAAACTAATGACTGTTCATAAATAATTAATAATTTTTATTTATTAATATCTTTTTTACTTTTATTGAAACAGTTACGAAAAGTTAACTCAAGAGTTGGAAGAATTTTTACAACCTTCCCAACAAATATTTTCTTTCCCTCCGAATCGAAACTTTCAACTTTCAATTTACGAGATAAAAAATTATCGAAGCTTTTACTTTCGAAGGAGGAAAGTGTGTTCGGACCAATTAAGTTGCGCGTCCCGAATCGATTGACAGCCACCAATGCCTTTGAGATAACGTTGTTCGACGGAAGAAGGGGAAACAACGAGTTGAACGTACCTCGACGACGCGAATAGAACACGAGCACGATAATTCACGGGCCTCACGTGAACAGATGAACGCGTACCGGAAGCAATCCGCTCGTTTATCAAGACGACGCTACGAAACCGAGTTATCAGGCAGCCGGTTCAACGACCACCGCCCATGCGGCGTAACCTATTCCGCTGGAGACTAGCTTGACCGAGATCGAGGTCGCGACAAACTTCTAAATCGAATGCGAACGAAATTTTCCACTTAAAAGTTTCGAATCCCAACGTCCACGACATTGAACTTTCTGAGAAGAATTAGAATTATGGTAGCAGCGAGCTAAATCTCTCAAGGTTGTGACAAACTTTCCAATGGAATTTCCGATGAAAATGGAAATTCCATTTGGATTCTAAGGATCTGAACTTTTTCAACGTCGAGCGCTCGCAGTTGGAATTTTCTTACGTTGAACGTTAGAATTTGTCGAACGTAGAAATTCGAATTTTTTGTTCTTTTAATTTGCAGAGTATTTATTAGAGTTTCGGAATTAGAGTGTAGTGTTTTTTTTTAATATTTTTCAAAATTTTGGTTTCGAAATCTTAACTTAAATATCTAGGGATCGATGAAACCCGACTTGAAAATCAAAATTAACACTTTTTCAAAATTTTGGTTTCGAAATCTTAACTTAAATATCTAGGGATCGATGAAACCCGACTTAAAAATCAAAATTAACACTTTTTCAAAATTTTGGTTTCGAAATCTTAACTTAAATATCTAGGGATCGATGAAACCCAACTTGAAAATCAAAATTAACACTTTTTAAAAATTTTGGTTTCGAAATCTTAACTTAAATATCTAGGGATCGATGGAACCCAACTTAAAAATCAAAATTAACACTTTTTCAAAATTTTGGTTTCGAAATCTTAAACCTAAATATCTATAGATCAAACCTGAAAATCAAAATCAATAGTTTCTCAACATTTAGGTTTCCTATAAATCCTAACCTCCAAATATCCAAAGAAAGGAAGCGTCTCGAGGTTAAATTTTATTTCAGAAGATCGTTGATCGATAGAATTTACAGCCGTTCGTTCGTCGAAAGCCTGTAAATCCCAAAACTCCGACAGAAATCTTGGAGATATCGAAATAACAACAAAGATCGGTACTTTCGTACGCCGATCTCTCAAGGTCGCGGCTCCGTGACGCTCAACTGTCAAGGCCGAAGCTTTTCCACACACTTCCGCCGTTGTCTACGGTAAATGAAGAACGCGAT